GTCGAACCACGACAGTGCAAAATGGAAGCTTGACACGCTAACCACTCGGCTACATTGCCACGAATACCCTTGAGTCACAGGGCATAAGTGAATTTCAAGGAAGATCAGGCCTCTTTGCTATATCATATTCTTTTGGTGGGAGTGCCGATGAAGCAAACGTATGTTTGCTATAGCTACATTACTTATATTCGTGTGAGAGTAGGGTTTCGAGACTACCAGTAAATCAGTGTAATGAGTCGCGTAACCTTACTCTCACACGAATAAAATTCTAGTTTGTTCTAGCTAATTTAATGCAAATATAAAAATTTTAAAAAATGATGAGTAGCACTAAAGTGCACTGCAAAGTTCGCTTAATATTAACCAAGATCTCACCTCGCCAGCACGATGTTTAATTGCCTGAGCGGCGAAAGCTGCGAGGGTAGGTATCGTAAATCCGGGAGGGAAAACCGAGGTAGCAGAGGTCACAGGTACAGTCGCAAGCTGGCGCCGGTGTTCAGCAAATAGCCGAATGACGAGTTCGATCCTGCTAAGAGCTAACCGATCGAGAGTGGTAGGTTCAAAGGGGCGAAGCAAGTCGTGCCAGAAGTTTGATAATGAGCGAATCTGATTTAAAAATTGTTTGAGAAATAAGTAGCAAATAGGCGAAGAAGTAAAATGGGATGATTATGGAATGGCAACCAGTAAAAAATATATATTATAGTGAAAAAGAATAGTGAATTTAAAGGTAAAATATGCCAAAATTAGAAAGGTTTATCGTAGGACAGATTCGGACTATTTAGAAAAAAAGAGTCATGTCCTCGTTGAGAATAAATTGAAAGCATGAGCTTCGAGGAAAAACAGATCCTGCCTTGCCGACATCTGGAAGGGAATTTATTATCGACAGTATGTATATGACAGTATTGGATATGGGATTAAATTAGGCAATCATTTACGACCTTGAAACATCAGGATCACAAGAATTTTGCTCCAGATATAAAAACTAGCGAAAATATCAACTTTTCTAATTCAGAACCTCTACTAGCGGGCTTTTCATTTTAATTAACACGCCATCAAAGAGTCAACAATTTGTCTAAAATTACAGCCAATGAGAAGACAAAATATAAGGAAAAAAATAAGTCAAAAGCAAGCTTTTTCAAGCAATTTAAATTTTCGTAGAAATATAAAGTAAACTGGCATAATTACCACTTGCAAGCTTTATACGTAGCAATAATGGCATATACCTGGGGCCACTGAGCCATATCTAAAAGATGCGATTTCGCCGTTCCTCGCACACGAGCAGAAGAATCGCCTGTACGCTGTAAGATAACGGAGGTCAACTTCTCGAGGCAGTGCACCAAGTCAGCTCGGTGCAGAGAGTGCCGAACGGCGAAGTCGACGACTAACGACTGAATTAATCGAATTGCCAAGCGAAAGACAGCCAAAACCTAAAAACAGTGGTGGAACAGATTGTTATAGTAGAAATTTAGGTAGCTAAAAATGCCTTGGGAGTGCATAAAAGTGAAAAGCCGAGCACACATAGATAAGATGAGATTTGCACTCTTTCAGTATAACTGCAACCACAAAACCGATGGTCTAATGCCATTATGACAAATAAACTATCAGATTAATCGAATTAGTTCGACTTTGTTTTTGTTACTTGGTCATATCGTCAGAGATCTAGATGAAAACACCTAGACAAAACTCCTTAGCTGTAGAAGCTATACTTCCAAATGCCAGAGCCTAGACCTAGATTATGACCAAATGTCTAGCCA